ATCAGCATTACTTTTATAATTATTATCTAATCAATTAAATTAATTTATTTCGCATTGTACCTCCTTCTTTTTTATTAATTGTAATTGTTTAATGAATAATAATATAATTGTATTTAGATAATATATACCTAATTACTACGTATCTCAAAACTAACAGAAAATAATGAATAATTATAATAATCAATAATTTGTTTTCTATTATCCCTTAGACATTAAATAAATGTGATTAAAAATAATTAGGGTTACTTAGTTTTAATAAGGGTATCTTCAAAATACCACGCTTTATAATTATTTCTGACTTACCTTAGTTTATATCGACGCCAGTTTCACTCACAATGAGCGATTTTCCAAATCATTCTTAGTTTTAGTTGTGGATGGCACTACGATTAAAATTTTTCGACATTTTCAGCAAATATTTATTTGAGACACATATGTCTTTCATTTGATTCCACTCATGACCGTCTGCAAGAACTAGCCACGCATATGTGAACCGCGATGCCAGTCGTTCCGCACTCTTTTTAACGGACGTAGAATACCAAAAATACAATAACATTTTAAATATTTTCGGAAGGTATTCAATAATTGGTTAGGAATTAATTAAATAGGTATATAAAAGGTTTTTGTTACTTGCTAATTTGTATTCCTTATCAGAAAAAAAGTTAAACAAATTTACCTATATGCTAAAAGTGTTTATTTATGTAGAACGAAATACAAAGGATCTACTCAATTAAAAACTCACATTAAAAATAATGGCAATTTTAGCTTTGTCACTATCAAAATCTATATTAAAAACATTCTTTTTATTTATACGAAAAGAAAGCTAGCTTCCATAAAAATTTAATATGAATAAAGGCTTATTTATTTATTTTATTATTTACACAACCTAGTATACCAATACTCAATAATCTCAGGCTCAATGCAGAAAATGTTTTTTCGTTTATATTTGACTAGAAAATAAGCATTTACAATAAATAAATACCTAACGACACTGAGACAGATGTTATTTAACATTTATTGTAGATATATGTACCTTGACTGAACGTTACATTTTTTTATTTTTTTGAAGAACATGATGTGCTTATCGAAATGTCCCAAAAATATTCTTTAATTAAATCACAAATAATTCCTATTAACTAAAAACGTACGTATTATTATTATATTTTGTATTTCAGTCTTAACCGAATATTAATTGTTATGTTAATAATTTCTTTGGTTAATATGTGATGACTTTATTTCCTTTAAATCAAAAACAAACACATAAAAACCTGTCACATAAAATTATTTATCAGTCATGGAATTCAATTAAAATGGCACTTAAAAAATACAGAATTAAACAGGCAAAACATTTCACTACAATAAGCACAATCACGGTCCCAAAACCTTAAAAAGTCAAGTAATTGTTACTTTTTTTTACCAAAAACACATTTGTTATAATATATAAATTAAATAAAAACTAATTAATCCAAAACCTCTGGCTTATTAGGTTGAATCCAAACGCGTGAGTCAGGTTTTTGGGGTTTATTCTTCTGTTCCTCCACTTTCTTCCATAAACTAGCTATTTTACTAACCTGTTGTTTCTTTGAACTGGATCCATTTGAAGATATACTGGAATTACTCGTAGACCTTGGCGTGATGCTACTAACTGGCCTATTAGGAAGGTTTTTCGTTTCGTTTGTTTGTACGGGGGCGACCATTTGTCTCGTTGTTGCTCTACTATCGGCACTCGGTGACCTTGTAAACATGTTACTCGATGGAATCCCAGGTCGTCTTGAACGATCAGCACTCATGGACTTCATAGGTGCCACCTAAACCGTTATTAATTAAAGTATAATCTGAATAAAAATAAATTACAATATACTAACCTTTCCAACAGGTGGAGGGCTTTTAACAACCTTCTCAGGAGTTTGGGGAGTTGTTCTGGGTTTAGGAATGAATCGAGTTGGTTGTGAAATTGGCCTTGCTATCCTGGAAGTGCTTCCTATCCTTGTGGCAGACGGAGTGGGAATTCTACTGTTACCACTCTTGCTGGTAGAGCTGTCTTGGTCTTCTTTAGTAAATGTCCCTTGTCTTTCTAATATGGGGGGCGTTTGAGCAGTACTACCAACAGGCGTAACTTTGGTCATTCCTGGAGATCTAATGCCATTATTTCCAGTTGGCATGACAGGTTTTTTAGTAACGACGGTCTTTTTTGGGCTACCTGATTTCATGCTACCGGAACTAGGAGTCCTTACAGGACTGCTCACTTTCGAACTACTGGCGCTTGCAGATCCTGAACTTCCCCCTTTAGGGCTTCCTGTGCTTTTTCTTGGATTTGCTACGACCTTAGTCTGAGTATGTGGAGACGCAGGTTTTTTATACTGGTATTTTGGAACTGGTGGTTTCGATGGAATAAGTTTTGATTGTTTTTGAGGGTTAGTCAGGGATGATGCGCTGTTTTTAAGGACTGATGTCACATTCCTAACAAGATTGGAGGTTATCTCTCTGATAGGTTTTGCGCTCGAATATAGTGGTTTCCTACGTCCTCTTACAGTTTTTGCTGCTTCCTTTTCTGGTTCTTTTTCTTCTGAAGTCTCTGACGGCTTAACAATTTTAGGTTTCTGAGGTGTTTTAGGGGTCATAGGTTCTTTGTCACTTTCAGAATTTGAATCGCCATAAGTATTGAGTGAGCATTCCAAAGGAACTGGGTCTTTTGGTAACTGTGGCGGCTGTTTAACTAAAGAGAAACTACCTCTTCTGGTACTAGTACTCTTCGTGTAGGTTCTGTAATTTATGGAACAGTTGGAATTATGTTCTGAATCATCGTCATTTGAAACCAAACTCAGCGTTTCGCAATCTAGTAGAAGCTCATCAGCAGCAGCACGAGCCTCTTTGAGAGATTTGACAACAAGGTTGGCTTCTCTTCTTATAAGACTATGTAGGTCTTCGTTATGAGTTGGGGAAGAACTAGAAACATCTGGAGAAACGCTAGACTCGCTTAGAGTACGTGTTTTAAACCTATCTCTGTTCTCAAGACGTCTTTGAGCATAATTTCGAATTTTTGGCGAACCCTTTTGTGGACTGCATGTAGCTGACGAAGTTCCAGTTGCTTCTCCAGCAGATAGAAGTGCTTCAGTTTGCATTTTCTGCAGCGCAGTGGTTACAGATTCGTCAAGTACTTGGGTTTGAAAACGGTTTCTGTCATTTTGTCTCCTCTCCTTTGGAGTGGTTTTATTTGATTCAGACGATTCGAGTATTTGTGATTCCGTCAACCTTTTATGTTCTTCGCTAACAACCATCTCCGCTGCAATGGTATACGTCCTATATCGATCACGTGTCAAATTTCTTTTTTGTTTTGGTGTGAGACGTTTGTTTAGGCTCTTGGTTTTTTTGGGTGTGGAGTCTGCACTGCTAGAGGCCAAATCTGAAGGTATTGGGGTGGTATTTAATGCATCTGAGTAGAGTGTTATATCATCTTCTGTCTTGGCATGAGTGTTGGCGTCTTCAAACAACGTTTCGACGTCAGCAAGGGAACTATTCATATCAGTGATTTCATTTAAAAGTGAAGGAGGATTTACATGTTCTAAATCACAAATTGAACTGTTTTCGATTGCATGTAACATATTTAAAGGCTGCTTAACTTTGAAAATAGGATTAGGGGGTTGCCACTTGTCAAAGTTGCATGTGACAGGACCGGAAGCAATAAAATCTAGTTTTAAGTCAGCTATTTCACTAGTAAGACTTGGGATGCTGTTGGCACTTCCTTCCATATCTAGGACATCACACATTCCTGACGGTGGATTTATGCTGTCCAAATTTGATAAACTATCTAAGCTAGACGTTTGATTGTGTTGTTGATTTAATGCCCTACGTGCAATGAGACCTGGCTGAAGCACCTTTTTCCTTCTAGCCAGTTTTGGACTGTGCTTGGGCGTGATATTTTCTATATTAATACTGTTAGTTAATGAGTTCATTTGTGAAGGTGGTTCGATAAGGTCCAGCTCTAAGGAATGTATGCTAGCAATGCTCTGGGTCATTACACCTTGATTCTGAATGACAGTCGCCATCTTTGTAGCTTCCATCGCTATTAAAGTTGATTCTGTCATAGTGTTACTGTCTAATGAAGAGAAATCATTCGACTTCTTATCTTCTTCCTTATCCTGGCCATCAACCGAATCAATACTGAGGATTTCTTGGGGTTTAAAATCTTCTGGGGGTGTATCAGAATCACTTTTGAAGGTAATAACATTTGGAGCACTCCCTGATACACTGGGGAAGGAAACATCATCGTCATTCCATGTATCACCCTCGAAGGTGGTTGATATTGTCGATTTATCTTTATTGAGATGGACTTCGGCCTGAGAGACAAGTTCTGCTGTAAATCGATCCAACGACTCTATCATTGCATCAGGATCGAGCATTCGATTATCAATTTTAATGTCAGTTGGTGTTTTATCGTCTTGTTCGGATATTATTCGTGTTTCATAACCAGATTCATCGTCAGTTCTCGCCGTGTTAGACCCACTCTTCGTGAGTACGGTCGAGCACCTTTCTTCGGAATGTGAACACCGGTTGTCCCGTATTGCTATATTGTTTGGTGTTCGCATCCCTTGATCCTCTGGGTTGTGATTCGGCCCTGGAGCGGACTCGGTTGCGGTGTTTTCGCCGCCTGCCACCGTAGCTAGAAGATCGGGACACATTTCGCCTTTCTTTGGCACCGTGATCCCGGCAGCAGACGTGACAAATACGTTTTTTGAATTCGTCTTTGTCAACTTTATTTCTTCCAAATCCTCTTCCTGCCACAAGTCCTTCTCCCTTTCCCTTTCGCTCCAATTAATGGGACGAAAGGCGAAATCGCGTTCTCTCTTGGTTAATTTAGGCGACTTCGTGGAAGATCCTGTGGGAGCTGGTGAAGATTTTTCGCAGACATTTTGAAGTTTATTTTTCGGCATAGCAGACGATATACATTCCTCTAAAAGCGCTTGCTCTTGTTCTGTCGGTTCAAAGGATTCTACGCTAAGAGAAGAAAGGGAGTCTCTTCGAGAAAGATTGACGTTCGAAATGTTCCCTTAAATGAATAAATAATATTATTATTATTGGAAGGGGTAGGCACCAACTATTGATACTACTACTACTTTATAAGAGTCAAAAGAAGTACAAACAAATAACGATTATTTCATCACAACGTTATGATGTCTAGTCTAGTCTAGTGAATGAACGAACGAATTAAACCGTAAAAACTGTTTTGCTTCGGTGAGTTTAATACGGTATTAACTATTAATCATCATTTGACTTAGCGTTTCCGTTCGATTAAACCTTTAACAACTTAAAAAAGGCGAGTGTACACAAACTATTTCCTTACCTCTTTCCAACGAGCTGGGGCCAGCAACTGAAAGAATTTCTTCAGATTTTCTTGCTTTCTCTTCCGTCTCCCCAACTGCATTGTTAATTCGTCTGGGGATAAAACAAGAAGCAAACAAATAATCACTCACTCCATTAATTGAAGAGAAGTAGAGATCCTTCTTACCTGGCAACACCACACACGCTTCCATCTATAGTCAAGTCTGATAGACTGGACCTTAATGAAAAATGACAAGGACTATTTTCAACAGCGTATCTTTCCGTTTCGTCCTTGGCCCCCAAAAAACATGATGGGTTAATCCGTTTGACTACGCCTTCTTTACGTGCAGCCCCTTCCGTATTAGGCCTATTTCGTGTCTTGACAAGTGGTGTACTGGTTTGCATATGCGGCTGCGTCACTACCACATTTCCAACGTCGTTGGGTTTTAAGCGTGGCTTCGGCATGGCCGATTGGATACATTCGGCCAGTAGGGCACTGCTGCTATCGTCTGAGAGGTCGTTCGTCTCGTCTGTTTTCGTAGGTGGCGATTCGTTAACGGTCGAGAGAGTGCTTAAGTTGCAGTGGGATCCAGCGTGACTTAGCATTGCAGGGGTGTCTTCCGTGCAGTAACTGTGAAGGGTGTCTGAGTGGACGTCGGCCAAGCGAACATTCGCAGACGATGATGGTCTTAATACAGCACCATTTCCAGGAAGACGAATTGACGTCAAAGGACTTTTGTAATCAATAGCTGATGGTAGAATCCGTGACGAAATCGAGCATTCTTTTGATTGGCGGTGCCTACCGAAAGTGATTGTTATTAATTAAAATGTAATTAATAAAAGTTAATGGTTTACCTACCTATTATTTTGCATGCCATCGCTTATGCAAGCTGCCAAAATGTGTTCGTCTTCTTCTTCACTATCGTCATCTTCCTTTTCTTGTCCTACATCTTGCTTTTCTGTTGTTTCTTTTGTAGCTTCCATGACGGTTTCGTTTGTTGTCAGAACAGATGTTCCCTGATAACAACGATAAATAATTTAATAAAAATGCCTAAAATAAATAAAATACGATAAGATTATACCTTCAATCTGTTTTAAGCGTTTTATAAACCTCTTATCTGTTTAAACTTTTTTATTTGCACATCTGATTCATACGTATATCCCACCAAACTTTTATGAATAGAATGATAATTAAATACCCAACTAACTTACATTTTTGCCGTCCTTTTTGGAAAGACCTCCTTCGTTATCGTCAAAGGTTAAGCTACTGAGGCTGGTAGCTGTTGAAAACTGCACTGGTGTATTCTCCTCCTTGAATTTGGTGACGTTATCTTCGAAAACGCTGGGTTTGTGCAAAGGCCTTGGAGGGACCTGATTCTGTTTCAAATCGGGGGACTTGAAAACTCCCTTTGAAGTCGACGGGTAATCATGAGAAGATTTTCGTCTTCGAGGGCTCGGAGCTATGGTTTGAGTCGGGGAATCCGGAAGTTCACTTGGAGACACTATGCCACTAGTCAGACGACTGTAAAGGGAAAATATGATGGCTAACATTATACATACGTATGAAAATGGTCAGAGCCACGACTTTACATGCTATGCAAAGTCGAGATAAGAAGAAGATAACGAGTGTTTATTTAGGTTGCGATAGTGTTTGTGCATTTTACTACTAATCGTTTGCAAAAAAATAAATTAAGGTCAGAAGATAAGAAATTTACCTAAAATCGGAAACTATCGATTCACGATCCTCATGGATGGAATGCTGTTCAATACTGTCTAAAGATGCCAAGGAACTGGACCTCGAAAACATTAGAGGTGTTTCCTCATGGTATTCGACACCTCGTTCAAATTTGACCACCTTTCCTGTAAAGAACAACGGGTACAATTAATTCCCAACACAAAAAACGCCCCGAATTGTTTTTACTAACCTTCAGAAGCAGTTACAACAGGTTTCGCTTCGTCTTTAGTCACCTCTGCTCTACTAGTATCAGGAACATTTTCGAAACATGTTATTTCTGTCTTGGGCACTTTTTCTAATTCTCCAGCTTTACCGCTTTCATTCAATGGCATAGAACTCAAAGACCCGAAGCTACTGACCCTCGAAAAGTATCCTGGGGTTCCCTCTTCTGCATATCGTACAGGTTTTTCTGGCGACATAAGGCCGGAGCTAAATTCTGATTTTGGCGGTTTTTCAGCGGTCTCTTGTCTGTTTTCCGTTTCTGAGACGTCCTCCACAGAGCAACGGTCTTTTTCGTCGTCAACGTTAGAAGGCTTTTGATGAGTAGTATCCGTTTTTATCTTGTCATTATCGGTGACCGGTTGCTTGTCAACGTCTCTCAGATCTGACATGGAGGTAGCTGTAGAAAAGTTGAAAGGTGTCTCGTAGGGTGTATCTTCGGTGCAGTAGGTTTTTACAGTATCCGCTACGAAATCATGAGATTTGTTTTGCGAACATATATCTTCCGGATCTGAATCGTCTTCTCCATAACGTAGTGAGTAGTCGGTAGGTTGATCGAGGTCTGTTTCAGCATAGATACCGAAACTTTCTTCCTCCAACTGAGACACTTTGGCATTAGAAGACCCAACGAATGTAGATTGAGGTAATTTCGTATCGCTATATTTCCGGCTGTAATCGATCGGTCTTTCTGGTAGCTCCGATTCGTCGTACCGATCGGAAAAGTCGTTCTGGAGCTTGGTAAAGTTAGCAGCACACTTATTCATTTTAACAAACTGATGGTCGATACTCAGGCTTCGAAATGTGTTACTCAAGTCGTCGTCGAGACACGTGTCACTCTTACAGTTTCTTGATTCTCGTCCCGCAATTCCTTCAGTAAGAGACATGTACTCCTGGCTTCCAGATCGTCCCACGTCCCATTTGGTCTTGTGGATATACGTCTTGTTCAACTGTTCAAAGTTAAATTTCTCTTCGTGAGTGTTGTTTTTGGTGGGAGAATCCTTGTCAATGTTTTCGAACGTTTCGGTCAAGTTCTGGTCCAATTCTTCCATTAGGGCTTTCTGTTTCCTGACGCCTAACGACGGTAAAGCGGGTAAGTCCATGGCTTTTGCGGTAGAATCCAGTTCTGCTACCAGGTTGTGTGATGGTCTGGAAGCTATTAGATTTTTTAAGGCAGCACTGCTCCCCATTGCAATCATCTTGTGCTTGGAATGGTTAAGGCTGCGCAGCATGGCCGGTGCACCCATTTGCCAGAGAGCCTCTTGATCTTGAGCGTTTTTGGCCGATAAATTCCAAAGGGTTCCGCACGAGTTAGAGACAATTGTTAAACTGGGAGATTTCAGAAGATCAAGCAAAACCTGAAGGCAATTGTGATGACGGAGAATTTCACGGTAGTCATCCCTCACAGCGATTTGACTGGAGATGTTCCTCAAAATCCCTCCGGAATTTTCGATAATGGCTAGCGACTTTGTGGGGGATTTGTAGGACAGCATGTCGACTAAAAATCCCAGAGCACCTTTAACCGCACATATTTCGGCCTTGTTCTCTGAACAGTGAGCAGAGAGATTCCAGAGTGCCGAAAGTATCGATTTCAACGTGCTTTCTTTATTGCTAACCATAGCCGCTTTCATCAGCTGGACAACAGCACTAATTTCTCGTAAGACTTCTTTGCTCGTGGAGTCTGCACGCCACGAAAGATTCCTCAAGACACTTGCAGTCACCTGGATGATCATAGAATCACCGTTACCTAGTTCTTAAAAAAAATTACATAATTTCCATTTACCTGACACAACTCGTCGTTGGTATTTTCCAATTGGGACACTAAAGCGTACATAAAAGTTTTCAAACTACAAAGCAGGGCTTTATTGCCGCTGTCTCCGAAAGTTAAATTAGTTAGAGCCATACAGCCATAACGTCTCAACAAGACACAATAAGTGTTCTCGATGTTGTTGCCATGTTCTGAGTGTTCCACCTGCAATGGGGAGTGTGGAATTTATTATTTTTTTTTAATTAAACATAAACGTTAAATATCGTACTTCGATTAAACTGGCGATTGTATGGATACCGCCCAAATGGCAAATGGCTTGCCGGTGTCCCTCGTCAAACGACAGTTTCATGAGATGAGCCATTGTTTGTACTGGATGCTTATCGCCGTCTGTAAAGGGTAAACGTTGATTTTTCTTTGTCAAAACCCTTTTCTATAGAAAATACGGACCTTCGCTTAAAGTCAAATCTTCTGGATTAAAATCGGTCTGGTTTCTGAGAAAACTGATGTAAGCCCTCGTCTGCTCCAGAAGTTTCAACACGCGACATTCCCGCTTCTTTTGCTTCTCGTCCGGATTTGAATAGACCAAATTGTGGAGAGCTTGTGAAGCTTTCTTTCGCGTGGTAGAATTTTTGTCGGATTGCACCAGTTGGACTAGTAATGGAATGCACCCTACAAATCCATTATCGTGAAATACACAATCCGACAAGGAGTGAGTAGGCAGTGCCCGTTTGTTTCCGCCACTTTTTACGCGAAAACGTCTTTGGAAGTCAAATTAAAGAAAGAACGAAAAAATCATATGGGGAAGTCCGGGAGACTTGCTCAGGTGGGAGAGTTGAACCACCTTTTAAAACTCAACTTAAATTTCGCGCTAACGAAAAGCCAAGACCGTCATTGGTAGAACAGGGGAGGCCAATAACAAGCACCCTTCCATTTTTTACAATGGCCCGTTTATTTGGCTCTCAAGTTCGGAAAGGTGTTAAATTTTATTAATTTATGTAGTTTTGAAATTGCGACCGTGTTTATAGAGGTACGTATTGTTCTCATTACTATTGTACTGCCTGATTATTGGAGTTTGACGTGAGCTAAGTGTTTTCTCGCTGATTGTATTTCCTGTGAGTAAAATTTAATGTCAAAGTAGTATATGCGGGAGGCTTGAACCATGGCGGGTGCGGGAGATATGCTCAGTGGTTCATGTCTCTCTNTGACTCATATCCCATTTTTCATTCAAATATATATAACATATTTCAGTACTATAATATCGAAAAAGTAATTATGCATAAGTAAACCTAAATAAATAAGCTACTGTTTATTATTACAATTGAATCACTAAGACTTATTTATAAGAAAATACGATACTTTAAACAAAAAGCGGTTCAACTCTCCCGGACTTCCCCTATTGATAGGCATCGTTTTAAACCTCATTGGGGGGAACGCATTAAAAACGCTCACCCTTAGTCTATTCAATATTTAGCAGACAAAAAATTGGAAAAAGTCGATCCACCTGATAGGTACTATATAAATTTAAAGACGTGTTAACGAAAAAGAAAAAAGAAACTGGAAAAAACGGCACTGACTGTTACCTGATTGCCTCATGGCCATGCAACTTTCAGGATTAGTACTCAGGGCAAGTAATGTTTCGCCCATATCGGCATGTTCTTGCCCCCCTAACATAGCCAACAAGCTATATACCATATCGACCTTTGCTTCTAGCTGTTGAGAAGACCTTCGAGACCTGTCAGGGCTACTCAATACCCTGTCCAATGGAGCACCTCCTGAACTCGAAGCGAAACTAATTACACTTTCCATCTCCTACAAGATACGCTCATTATATATTGACCCGAATCTCCCACATTACCTAGGCTAAACAATAACCCCCAAACAAATTAAGAAATGAAAATGAAAACGTACAGATCCATTGTAATGGGATGTAGGTGGCGGTGGAGCTAAATTTGTGGGGTCCGAGTTCCACATGGCGCGTTCTACAGGCCAGGTACCATGATATAAGACAGAAAGGCCCTTGTTTCTATTTGATGGAGGTTCACTGCTTACAGACAATGCAGTGGCACTTGGTGCGCTATTTCCAAACGCATCACCACTACTTACTGTCTCACCCTCTCCATTTGTACTTGGTACCCTATCGTACTAAAAATAATCCCGCCAATAATTTTCATGTATGCGAAAATATTAAACATATTTTTCACGTATCTATTTTAATTATTTTTACAATCACCCTTTCTACCCTTATAAATACTATTGGGATCCGTCAAATGGGCATACACCATCTGGTGGCAAAATTTATAATTCGAATGAGGGAAAAATTTACATAGGAACTGTGCACGCAAATTGTAAAATTGTTTATTAAAATAATAAAACACGTTAAAAAAGTAAAAATTTTTTTGATGATGGAGTCGACGAAGTTTTCTTCTAAAGTTAAATCAAATAAAAAGTAAATATGTTCAGTGAATAGCTGCAATAGCACTTCAGACATAGATCTTCACTCTTCACCTACATTAGCTACTTTCCAATAAAAACTAACCGTTTTATATATGTAAAAAATATATTCGGAAAATTAGAGAAAAAGTAAACTAATAGAAGTTCGGATGAAAGCAGTAGGTATCAAAGAAATGAATTCCGGAATAAAAATTTGTTCACGTCATTTTAATGCACATGATTATATTTCAGCATGTATTTACCATCAGCCATAACCTTAATATTTAAAACTAGAATCCTACTAAGTGAGAAATTATTTATTCCTGTGTAATTGATTTAACACAATTCTAATGATACGATATAAGTATTTTGAGGTTAAGAACCTACCTGCTGCAATACAACAAAGTTGCAATAATGTGTTTGCAACGTTCTCTTAAATCGGCTTTGCACGTGCAAGTCATTGATATGATATTGCTTAAATCACCCAGAATCACCTCACCAATTATATAACGTGAATCACTTTTTAAATCCGAAGTTTGTAAAAAGTAGGCAGTAAACTTGACGGAATTTGAAGGCTAGCTTCCGGATTTGTTATTTCCGAATTTTATAATGTGATTGGCATTAAAAACACGCTCACCTTCAACGAAATTTCCTTTCCAAGGCTTTGTGTCAGCCCAATCACATATTGTGTCAATACTTATCATTTTATCGTAATTTAAAAACTTGGAAATTGCACGGTACACTATAGGAACTACGATAAATTTTCCCTAATCGGCGCCATGTTTTTAGGCTCCTCCCATTTGACGGATCCGAATAGGGGAAAAGCAAAATACCGCTAAAATGAACTGTTTCTTGTGCATAATATTTATGTTAAAGGACTTCAGCATTTATCGTGTCAAATAATTAATTACTTATTAATTTTGTACGGCGATATAAATTACTATTTTATTAATAAACATTATCACGGTTTATACATACATATGTATAATACGTACACTACAGCTGAAGGTATAAGTTTTATCCACTTAGTTCACTGCTAAAATTAAAGACTAACAACAATTGCCGCTGCTAATTTTATCTTAAAAAAGAACACGCGAATGTGTATCGACCTCAACTACAAATGCATACTCAAATAATTTTACAGTGTATAACGACTTGACGCAATGTAATTTTGAAGTATTATTACTAAGCAACATAAAGCAGACGTGGTTCAATTTCTTTCAGATTGTAAGAACACATGGTGGCATATTAAACCAAAGTTATCAACTAAAGAAATATACGAAACACACATGTACAATACTTAGCGGCCCTATTTGAAAGCATATTTAATTTTGGGTTTCAATTAAGTGTACCTACTGTTTTGAAGAAATAAATGGACAAACAACAACGCTCTATATTTTACAAGTTATATGCAGGAATGTAGGTAAATTTGTAAGCTTGATTTGAGACAAAAGTCTTCGTTTCTGTTTCACATCAAGGAGAACCTTCAGTTCGACATAAAACATTATTCTATAAGCTAATTAAAAGACTTACGTCAGGTGCATCGTCGCGATGTCTTTGAAACACTACGGATTCCATCTTGCGCGGTGAAGAATAAGTATCACGAACTAAGGTTTCATCTTCTAAATGCTAAAACAAATAGGAAAGAAAAAATACTACCTATACGTAATTTACTTATAGGAAAATTACATAAACTCACAGATACTAATAAAAATTGAAATTGTATCTGCATTTTCTTTTTTAGACAACTTCACAGAAACAAGAATTGTAATATTTATATATCGTCGTAACTCTTCTATTTGAGCGGTACCTTTGTCAGTTAAGTTAATGGTGTATGTTTGGAGCACGGCGTTGTACGGGTGCGAAACATGGACAGTGGGCGCGGCGGAAAAGAAAAGGTTAGAAGCGTTCGAAATGTGGTGTTATAGGCGGATGATGAGGATATCGTGGGTAGAAAAGGTTAGAAATGAAGAGGTATTGGAAAGAATAGGAGAACAGAGGACTCTATGGAAGTCAATAAAAAATAGGCGAGATAGGTTGGTAGGACACCTTCTCAGACATGAAGGTCTAGTCAGAGACATATTAGAGGCAGAAACAGGAGTTAATAGGGGTACAGGTAGACCTAGATTAGATTACTGTTCGCAAATAGTTAAGGATGTGGGCTGTTCTAGTTTCAGGGAAATGCGAAGTTTAGCTCAGGATAGGAAAGAGTGGAGGTACGTGTCCAACCAGTCTTAGGACTGACGACCTTATGTCAGTAACCCATAGTACTTAAGACTATTTCCCATCATCACCTTGCTTAAGCCTTTAATGCGTTAACTTAACATTTTCCAATAGATAATTTTATGATGTAAATTTTAATGTATACATATGCAACCAACTACATACGTCAAATAAATATTTGAATGTATTCAACCAACTATACAGTACATTTAGACCCGTCCACGCTATTCCAATTGTTTTATTACATTTCGAATGCCTCAAAATTGGTGATTCAACGTAACCGTTTAACAAAATATTTGTATTTTAGTTTTTTGTAGGAAAAATGAAGAATCATCAACAAAAGGTACATTTGGGTTTTAAAGTCAATGTATTGAAAAAAGTAAATGAACCTTTAGTTTAAAACTAACAACAACCGAACATATTTGCGCATATTTAGCCATTTAAAAACCAAGTGTCTAAATATTTATCCATTCAACATTTAGCAATTTAATGCTAAAAGTCATAACTCAAACGTTTCCCCTGAACTTTAGCGTAACGAAGTTGTGTCATAAAATGAAATTTGTCTTTCCCTTTGAACAAATTTTCCCCTGTTTCGCTGTTTCGACTGGGACATCTGTCCGGCCGTCTCGTGGTTTGTTCGGTAGCGTCCGTGCAAAAATGTTCGATCGCATCCCTGCTTGGTTGCCTGGATGGCTGGCTCTCACCACCGCCCCGAACGGGAACGGGGGTAGCAGACAGACGCCTGAAGTCAATCGAAACTAACCGAAAGGGTCCGTTGTACGTGCGTCATATATACACGACAGGAAAAACTTTAATTTTCCAAGGGACAAAAAGAAATAAAGAAAGAACATTTATCGTAAAAACCAGTAAGATGGACAACAGCGACGATCTAGACGAAGAAATGCTAATAGCCCTTGTGAGACAACATAGGGAATTGTATGACTGCACTTTGCCCAAATATAGCGATGTTGTGAGAAAGGAGAGGATATGGAACGAAATAGCAGAACAAATTTCACAACCAGGTAGGTACGATTTCTAATATTGCTAGGAAAATATTTTGCCACACCGGAGTGTGCTTCTTTTTCTTGTTTTAGTTCACAAGTGCAGAGAACGCTGGTCAAACTTGCGAGGATCGTTTAGAAGAGCGTATCGAGACCATAAGGGTATCAACGATAGCAAATTACGTAAGCGGTCGAAACGTTGGAAATACGAAAAACAAATGGAATTTTTAATACCGTTTCTTAAGATAAAATACGACCCATCACAATCAGGTAAAAAACGCACAAGCTTTTATAAAATATATCGGGGGCGCTTTAGTACAGTCATTTGGTAGTTTTGCCTGGAAAGTTTTCCGGGAGTTTTGAAAATTGCTAATTTTATAGATTTTGAAGTGCTCATTCCGAATTTCAACTTTGCCACCTCGTATATTTGCCGCTCGCACCGCCATATTGGAAAAATGGCGCCTAAATGCAGTTTTTTGGCAATATCTCCTTTCCAACTCATTTTACGATAAAAACAGTTACATACAAAATTAAACTAGGGACAATTATCTACAATTTTTGTATGTACCTTTTTTCCATAAAGTCAACAGTTTTGGCGTACGAGCGCCGCAAAGTGTACTCCAACGCGTGTTTTGGTAGAGCTCAATAGAAATATTTAGTCTGAGTCATCAGTAGAGTTCGGAATATATGCACTAAAAATAGCAAATATATGCATGCAAATATGTTTTAAAAATCGTCAAAATATGCATTATTATATGCATTAATATGCATTTAAATTTTAAATAAAAGAAATTCTGTTAACACTTGTATTTGTTTAAAGTACAATGGCATAACTTACAAAAAAAACCCACGGACGTTATCTTCAGACATACTATAACAATATGAAACTAAATGTTTTTCTAAATCACGTTAAAAAAAGAACGCGCCGCTTACTCTACTTCAAGGTGGTGTCGAAATGAGTTTTTTGGCCAAAATGCGTGTTGGAGTACACTTTACGGCGCTCGTACGCATAAACTATTAACTTTATGAAAAAAAGGTAGATACACAAATTGTAGGTAATTGTCTCTAGTTTCATTTTGTATATAACTGTTTTTATCGTAAAACGAGTCGGAAAAGAGATATTGTCAAAAAACTGCTTTTTGGCGCCATTTTTTCAATATGGCGGCGCGAGCGGCAAAAATACGAGGTGGCAAAGTCGAAATTCCGAAAGAGCACATCAAAATCTATAAAATTACCAATTTTCAAAACTCCCGGAAGACTTTCCAGGTAACCACTATTTTTCGAACCAAACGACTGTACTACTTTGGGAGTAACAATTTCTCCCTATTAACACTATCGTTGGTTATATGAATATGAAACCAAATGTACAGGCCAAACAAAATTTTAATGGTTATCATATGTTATTAGAATGTATGCAACCAACTGTACAGTTGAAGGTACACATTTAAACCCGTCCACTTTTGCCAATTGTTTCCTACCACTCGAACATGTCCAAATTGACATGAATTAGTAAACATTTAAATGTGTTTATTGTTTCAGCAACAAGATTTCTCAAAAATTGGCGTCGAACAGAAATTTATTAAATTATTCCAGTAGAATGGTCATTATTTCGACCGAACAATTTTAAAGTTTCAAGATGTTTAGATAGCCAAATTTCCAAAAAAATTCAATTTTTTTTTCTTACAGATCCTAGAGAACTTCGAGAACTCAATTTAATATCCGCTGCAGATATGTCGAATGCAAATGAAGAAATATGTATAAAGAACGAAACCTCGTCATCTCCCAGATCCTACGAAATCGACTATCCCGATTCCTACTCCCAAACAAGCGCCATGGACGGCCTAAGAACGGCAAATGCAACAGGGGTNTCAATTTAATATCAGCTGCAGATATGTCGAATGCAAATGAAGAAATATGTATAAAGAACGAAACCTCGTCATCTCCCAGATCCTACGAAATCGACTATCCCGATTCCTACTCCCAAACAAGCGCCATGGACGGCCTAAGAACGGCGAATGCAACAGGGGTAGCGTACGATCACTTCAATGGCACCAAGAGCCACCATCCCTACACAATCGATCGGGACAATGACGCATTGAGAAACTTTTTCGCATATCTAGCGGAAACAGTTAGGACATTTCCGCCTTTCATGCAGGTCCTGGCGAAATCCAAATGTTTTAATATCATTTCCGAAATGGAAATAAGTCTTGTAAAGGAAAATCCGGACCAGTGTGTCGTTTCGCAAATATCAGTGGATGAAAATGTACGCGAAACGCCGATTGTTTTGAACGATGTCGACTACAAACCCCCCGAACTTCGCACCGACGCCGACGCTAAAATGCCTGATACGACACATTAAGCAATAACACAATACATGTATGTAATAAAAGTGATAATAGCCAAGAAATTTTTTATGTTTGCAACACAACTTGTTTGTAATCAATAAATATAAGCGCTCTTCAGAATTTGCAGTTTTATTGTTTGATTATGACGCCGATGTCGTCAAGAAACAACAATTATTGTAAACGACCAAATTTTATAAACAATTCAACTGGGTTTTAGTAATTTTAAATAGAAATATAGCATTGCAAACTCAAATTATAGGGTTGTTCGGAAAGTCATTTCGTTTTTTCCAGACAGAGGATTTGGGAATTGTATGACTGCACTTTGCCCAAATATAGCGATGTTGTGAGAAAGGAGAGGATATGGAACGAAATAGCAGAACAAATTTCACAACCAGGTAGGTACGATTTCTAATATTGCTAGGAAAATATTTTGCCACACCGGAGTGTGCTTCTTTTTCTTGTTTTAGTTCACAAGTGCAGAGAACGCTGGTCAAACTTGCGAGGATCGTTTAGAAGAGCGTATCGAGACCATAAGGGTATCAACGATAGCAAATTACGTAAGCGGTCGAAACGTTGGAAATACGAAAAACAAATGGAATTTTTAATACCGTTTCTTAAGATAAAATACGACCCATCACCATCAGGTAAAAAAGGCACAAACTTTTATAAAATATATCGGGGGCGCTTTGGGAGTGACAATTTCTCCCTATTAACACTATCGTTGCTTATATGAATATGAAACCAATTGTACAGGTCAAACAAAAATTTAATGGTTATCATATGTTATTAGAATGTATGCAACTAACTATACAGTTGAATGTACACATTTAAACCCGTCCACTTTTGCCAATTGTTTCCTTCCACTCGAACATGACCGAATTGACCATTTTGGATTAGATTCTAAATAAACGATAATATACTGGGTGTCGAAAGTAGGCCCATGACATATTAAAGGTTTTAACAGTGAGTTAGTTCCATAATATAATTGTATGAAAAAGACGAAATTTGTTGAATTATTCCAGTAAAATGGTCATTATTTTGGTCGAACAATTTTAAAATTTCAGGATGTTTTAGAGTCAATTTGCCAAAAAAAAATCATATTTCTTTCTTACAGATCCTAGAGAACTCAATTTAATATCAGCTGCAGATATGTCGAATGCAAATGAAGAAATATGTATAAAGAACGAAACCTCGTCATCTCCCAGATCCTACGAAATCGACTATCCCGATTCCTACTCCCAAACAAGCGCCATGGACGGCCTAAGAACGGCGAATGCAACAGGGGTAGCGTACGATCACTTCAATGGCACCAAGAGCCACCATCCCTACACAATCGATCGGGACAATGACGCTTTGAGAAACTTTTTCGCATATCTAGCGGAAACAGTTAGGACATTTCCGCCTTTCATGCAGGTCCTGGCGAAATCCAAATGTTTTAATATCATTTCCGAAATGGAAATAAGTCTTGTAAAGGAGAATCCGGACCAGTGTGTCGTTTCGCAAATATCAGTGGATGAAAATGTACGCGAAACGCCGATTGTTTTGAACGATGTCGACTACAAACCCCCCGAACTTCGCACCGACGCCGACGCTAAAATGCCTGATACGACACATTAAGCAATAACACAATACATGTATGTAATAAAAGTGATAATAGCCAAGAAATTTTTTATGTTTGCAACACAACTTGTTTGTAATCAATAAATATAAGCGCTCTTCAGAATTTGCAGTTTTATTGTTTGATTATGACGCCGATGTCGTCAAGAAACAACAATTATTGTAAACGACCAAATTTTATAAACAATTCAACTGGGTTTTAGTAATTTTAAATAGAAATATAGCATTGCAAACTCAAATTATAGGGTTGTTCGGAAAGTCATTTCGTTTTTTCCAGACAGAGGATTTAATTGTATTCTTTTGCACCCAACTTCACATTTAAGCCGTATAATTTTTATATGCTTTGAGAGCTCATATAGCAAGGCTTGTGTGTGAAAAATTCCAATTAATTCTACGCAGTAGTTTTTGGTTGGTGCCCTTTTAAATATGGAGAGCGATAAGCAGCATTTTCGACATATCTTACTGTTTTACTACAGAAAGGGTAAAAATGCTGTTCAAGCCAGAAAGAAATTGACTGATGTGTATGGAGAAGGTGTGTTGACAGTACGCCAGTGCCAGAACTGGTTCGCTAAATTTCGATCCGGCAATTTTGATGTCGAAGATGCACCACGTTCGGGAAGGCCGGTTGAAGCTGATAAAGACGCGATAAAGGCATTAGTTGATGTGAACCGGCGAATAACAACACGTGAGATCGGATTGAGGTTAAATTTATCAAATTCAACAGTTTATGACCACTTGAAAGGCCTGGGATTATCCTCGAAGCTCGATGTATGGGTTCCCCATGTTCTCACAGAGAGAAATCTGTGTCGCCGCATTGACGTCTGCGATTCGCTTCTCAAACGTCACGAAAATGATCCGTTTTTGAAGCGCATCATCACTGGGGACGAAAAATGGGTTGTATACAACAACGTCAAACGCAAGAGGTCATGGAGCAAAAAAGATGAACCGGCTCAAACCATTTCCAAAGCCGATATTCACCAAAAAAAGGTGATGCTGTCTGTTTGGTGGGATTTTAAAGGAATCGTTTTTTTTTAGCTTTTACCGGATAACACAACGATTAATTCGGAAGTCTACTGTCATCAGCTGGACAAACTGAATGATGCACTTCAACAGAAAAGGTCAGAACTAATCAACAGGAAAGGTGTAGTGTTTCACCAAGACAACGCGAGACCTCACACAAGTTTGGTCACTCGCCAAAAGCTTTTACAGCTTGAATGGGATACAATGCTACACCCACCATATTCTCCAGACCTGGCACCATCGGATTATTATTTGTTCCGGTCACTCCAAAATTTTTTAGACGGTAAAACCTTCACCTCAAATGAGGAGGTCAAAAACCTCCTCGATCAGTTTTTTGCCAGCAAAGACCAAAAATTTTATGAGCGTGGAATTATGCTACTACCAGAAAGATGGCAAAAGGTGTTGGACCAGAACGGTCAATATATAATTTAATAAAGTATTTGTTTATTATACGAAAACTGTCTTTCATTTCCACAAAAAAAAAAACGAAATGACTTTCCGAACAACCCTATACATTTAGTCCTTCAGATTTTCTTCGGTATCAAAGACTTGTTTTGTACTTGTTCCTTTGCGATTACATATATTTCTTTGTATAGTTTTAAGAATCCTTTTATCTTTCAAAATTGACATAGTCTTCCACTGTTTACCAGACGTTACACTGTCGTAAAAGTATCCCTTTTGTGTTATCACGTAAAGTGGAACTGGGAAAATTGAAAAGGGATTTAAATAAAATGATGTTCGAGCCATGTAAACGAAAAGTTTACTTATTCAAACGCAACTGCTTAATCTAAAATTTAATAAAGACATTTTCATTCTGCTAGGGATTCACTCCTCTTCCGTGGGGACATTTCCCCCCTCCCCCAAAATTCTTACGAAAATCGAAATCTTCAAATTTCACCGAAATTAAACAATATTTGAATATTGCGAAAAACAATTTCCTTACAATCAAAAAGGGATTAGGTTGTGATTTGTTAGAGAATTCTCAGGATTCGCCCCTGTACGAAATAATACGTATAATAGGTTAATAATATAATATCAATTCAATAAATTATGTTTAAAACAAATAAAAAACGAATTTTATCTTGAATTATAATGTAGTAAAATCTATATCCCTTCAAAGCGTTAAAAGCTTTGAGAAATAAAACTGATTTTATTTTGTAATGTAGGTATGTTTATATAACACCGCTTGGAACCACTTCTAAGATACTAAAATAGTAGGTCAGAGATGTACATTAAGTATACTATATCACTTCGGCTTCGATATTGTAAAAACCTTTCATATTATAAGTAGGTATTTATATAATATAAGCTTATTATTTTTACTACCTTTTAGAATATAAAATAAATCTGTTAAATACAAACCCACAATTCAACATAAAAAGTTTAAAAACTCCTTTTAAGTTTTTTAAACGTTTCGACGTGAAAAATTTGGGTTATCTTGATTTTCTTGTTTTGTTTCTATTTGAATCAGTTAGATGGGCGGAGCCTAAAAAACATGGCGGAAGGTTTTGTTCGATCCTACGTTTTTATAAGAGTAATATGGTTTATAGTTTAATGCCAAATAAATTATTAGTATGCCAAATTTGTTCTTGGGGCAGTACAATAGAACTTAGGCATCTAAATTTTGTAACACCAGATATAATATTCTCGCTTTATTCCAACAGCTTCCCCAACGAACCACCACTGGTTAAAAGCAAAAACTAAATAGGTGTATACAATACTACTGTAATGTTCTGAACTATGTAAACAATAATTATTATTAGTATGCATACACTTACGTAGTACAACATGCCATAAACAAACTATTAAACTGAGTGCTTTGACGACGTAAAGGTGCAACGTATTTTTTACCGTTTCCTGTAGTCTTCGATTATTATTATAAAAATAACATCGGAAGTATAGATGTTTAAAATAAACTAACTTTTTTGATCGAGTTAACTATTTTTTATTGTCAGGAACTACCCCTAAACCACAGTTACTGTAAGCAAAGGAACAAGAGGGTTGGTAAAATTCTATCCTGAATCTACTGCGGAGGTTTTTTACTGTTAGATTTTTAGTGGATCGAAGAAGATGTACAAATGGATCAATGTCTATTATCTTCATGCAATAGTAGGATTAAAGACATTTTACGAGAATGGTTGTTTCGACATTTTAGATGGGTTTGAATAAAGAAAATAAAATTTTATTACAATATCAGAAGGTTTTACGATTTTCCGTGACAATTTTCCGAATCCATCTGCCTTGGCCCAAGTTTTTCTATAGTTTCCTTGGACCACGTACGCAAATTCTGGAACAGTAATATTCCACAGATAAATAATTAATCTTTCACTTTCTTTTGTCTTCATTTCCTCTATCTCATCTTTCTCATCCTAAACGGAGTCTGAAGGTGGGACCGACCGCTCATTAGTAGTTGATGGGAGAGAAAGTCTTAAATTTTTTTTTTCTCGGTGGCAAACAGTGTTTTGAGAATTTGTCATCAGTCCGGTATGTCTGGTGATACGTTTGATTCCGTGGAGTTGGTCCTAAAGTTCTCGTTCTGCTGTGGTGCATTTTCTAGGAAGATTTCTAGGAATGGCACTATCGGTTTGGACACATCTGATTTTCCGGTTTTGACAGGGAGCTATGTTGAACGGCACGTTGTAGTGCGTTTGGCATGGGTGAGACAGTGGAGTTGTGACTCGAATGGAAGGGATTACTGAAGAACTTCTCAAAAACAATGAAAATGTGCTTTCGCTTGTTCTAGTGGAGGTGTTGTGGCGATCTGCCTGGAGAGACAGATAACACTCCAGGGGGAAGGGCATTTGCAGTATGGTCATTCATGTGAAGGGTTGGCAGGGGTCCTATGGTTCAACGGCAGACGAATATATAGGATATTTTGGGGAGATACAATGGAAAGCGATCCTTCTCCTTCAGATCTATTGTACTAGGGTCAATTGAAAAGTCCCCGGCCTGACACATAGATGGCGGCACCAGAACTAAATCCATATGATTTCCCGTTAGTCCTAACCTTCAAAAGACGCGTCTATAAATTTGATGGCTGTCGGATCATTAGTTTGTGAATTATAGCATTTTTAGTGAAGCAACTTTTGTTATTGTGAAAAAAATGGATAAAAAGGAAATTCGCGTGTTGATAAAATATTGCTTTTTGAAGGGAAAAAATTCAGTTGAAGCAAAAACTTGGCTTGATAACGAATTTCCGGACACTGCCCCAGGAAAATCAACCATCAAGGATTGGTATGCTAAGTTTAGACGTGGTGAAATGAGCACCGAGGACGGTGAACGCAGTGGACGCCCAAAAGAGGCTGTTACGGACGAAAACATTAAAAAAATTCACAAAATGATTTTGAATGACCGTAAATTGAAATTGAATGAAGTAGCAGACACTCTACAGATATCAACGGAACGTATACATCACATCATTCACGAATATTTGGGTATGAGAAAGCTCTGTGCAAAGTGGGTGCCGCGCGAGCTCACTTTTGACCAAAAACAACGA